TAGTCCCTTACCAGATGTATTATTTGCAATGTGTTCTCCCACTCTCTGGGCTTTTTCACCTGATTGTGCCCCTTTTGAGCACAAAAATTTTCAGTTTTGAAGTTTAGTCCATCTCTTTTCTTTTGTTGCCTCTGCTTTTGGTGTCCTATCCAAGAAGTCATTGCCTAATCCAGGGTCATGAAGGCTTACCCTTTTGTTTTCTTCTAAGAGTTTTATAGTTTTAGCTCTTACATTTAGGTAAGAGGTAATTTGAGGTAATATTTTACAAATAGTGTGAGGTAGGGGATCAACTTCATTGTTTTTGCATGTCCCTGCATCATGTGTTGAAAAGACTATTCTCTTCCCCGACTAAATCATCTTGACACACTTGCCAAACATCACTTGGTCTCAAAATTCATTTTGTCGTAAATATTGTGAGGGTTTATTTCTGGATTCTCAATTCTGTTGATCAATATGTCTGTCCTTATACCAGCATCACATAGTCTTGTTTACTGGAGCTTTGTAGTAAGTTTTGAAATCAAGAAGTATTTATCCTCCAACTTTGCTCTTCATTTTCAAGCTTGTTTTGGCCTTTCCAGGTCCCTGGCATTTCCACATGAATTTTAAGGTCAGCTTGTTGATTTCTGCAAAAAAAAGAAAAAAAAAAAAACAAACAGCTGGGACTTTCACAGGGATTGCATAGAATTTATAGATCACTTTGGGGAGTATTGCCATCATGACAATATTAAGTCTCTCAATCCATGAACATGGGATGTCTTTTCATTAATTTAAGTTAATCCAAGTAATTTTAATCCCAGTATTTTAGACATGAGGGATTGAAGAGGTTCTGCCCAAGAATATTCAGGAGAAGAGGATCTGATGGATAGGATGCACTGTTAATATTTGTGGAATGAATGAACAAGTGAATGAAAGAACTACCAAAATACTATTGCTGTTAAGGAAAATGCTTAGGAGTAACTGATGGAGAAGAGGTGTCAGAATACTATGTTTTGTGTGGGGGACAGTTATGGACGCTAGATGTCCTTAACAGGTGGAGCTGGGCTGATAAAATCAACAAGTGGCCTTGGGGTTGAGGAGGCCGGTTTGTAAAGTGAAAGTCAGTGGATACCATCACTCCATTTTGCTGAGAATAGTTCATGCTGAAATTAACAAAGATGCATTCTGGGTTACTTGAACAAATAGAGGCAAAGGTAGGATAGAGTGGAATTTAGAATTGGTTTTGAACTTTTAAGTGTTTTTAAATTTAGTTTTGAGAGAGACAGGGTGCAAGGTGGGGGAGGGGCAGAGAGTGAGGGAGACACAGAATCTGAAGCAGGTTCCAGTCTGTGAGCTGTCAGCAGAGCCAGACGTGGGGCTTGAACTCACAAACCGCAAGTTCATGACCTGAGTCAAAGTCGGACACTTAACTGACTGAGCCACCCAGGCACCCTGAGTTTTGAACCTTTAGGTATCACGCAGAAGAGATTAGGACAGAAGTTTCATGCCAGAATGACAGGGCTTTGACTTGTTTACCTTCCTTAATAGAGACCCTCCACTGTCTTTTTCACCTGTTGATTTTCTGGGTGGTCTTTCTTAGGTGCCTGCATTTCAAGTGTTGCTCAGCTGACTCCTAACAAGCCAGCTGGTGTCCACTGCCCGCAAAAACTGGCCATGAGGCTGTAGGTGGCAGCAGCTTTTCTAGCTTGACTTGGCAGCTGGCTAGAGAGGGCCTGAGTCAAGGTCTTCAGAAACAGAGCCTCCTCACACCTCTTCTTCCAGGACATCGTCTCTCGTTTGCCCTGTCATTTTCCGGGATGTCTCAGCTGCCATTGGGATCCTGAAGAATTTGGGTTTTTTTCATGGGTTGGAAAAGTGCCTCTCTGGAGAGGAATGTACTTTGGAAAGCACTGGAAGGTAGACTTGTTTCACAGTCACTTATGAGCTCTGTGACCCTGGCTGGATTGGCCTAACTTTTGACTTCAGAGGGACACTGTCCCCATGGCCAGTAAGGACAGAGGTGCCCAGCAGCTATTTATACCTGACGCTCCTGAGTGGAAGAAGAGAACCGTGTTTGGACCCCAGGAATGTTTTCAGTCCTTCACCAAAGCGGCTAGTCCTTAGAATCTCCTGCTGTGGGAGTCAGAGTTTGAGCCCTTCCCCTCTGGTTTGTCCTTGGAGGTTGGACTGTGTGCACTGCCCTCACATCTGTACCTGACTTGAGGCTCGGCACTGTCTGCCTCATTGCCAGGGTTTGAGGACTGAGTCACTTAGAGGACATGTGCTCTTTATAGGGGTAGAATCTTAGTCGCATTGGCTGTGACGGGAGGGAGAAACCTTCCTGGTTTCCACTTCTCTGGCAGTGAATGTGCTTCTGTGTACTTTCTTTTGGCACCTGTCCTACTATGGGCGTGAAGGCACTAACCAGGGGCCTCTTCCAAGGGTGTGTGCTCACCTCCAGTGGACTCCCGCCCTGCTGTGCCTGCCCGTGTGCTGTAATTCGTAGTGCTCAGAGCACAGTCTGGGTGTGTGCTCATCCTCTACTGGCTCTGTCACCTTGGGCAAGCCACTTATCCTCCCTCTCCAGTCCCCTCATCTGAGAAATGGCATCTCTCATAGGGTCATTATTGGAAAAATAAGGTAATATGCAAAAAGATGATCACAGTAGCAAGCATTCGGCAAATATCCACCATCACTGCTGTCACCGTCCTTGTCATCAGCTGCTTCTGCCTGGCACACTTGCTGCTCTCTGGTCAGCTGCTTAGTGTTCAGGTCCGTGGCTCCTTATGTACCATTCTCATCTCCAAAGCCTCTGAAAACTCATCTTTTTTTTTTTTTTTTTTTTTTTTTTTTTTCCCCTTTACTACTTATCTGGCAGCAATACCTGACATGAATGTCCATGTATGACGTGTGGGCCGATTTATCCCTCTTCTGGTGTTAGGGCTGCCAAGCTTCTCCTGTGTGTGACAAGGGGCACTCGAGACCTCGTTGGGGTGCAGTGTAAGGACTGGGGGGGAGGGGGCCGCGAGACCTTCGCTAGGGGAAGGCAGAGTAGCTTGTGTGGGAGCAGCCCCTTCCCCGAGGCAGCTGGTGGTGACAGGCCCATCTGTGGGTCTCCCTGGTGACAGGGCCGCTGTCCGGGCCACCTCACAGCTCAGGGTGGCCGTGACCGAGTGAGCGTGGAGTGGCTCTGTGGCAGCGGCAGGGTCAGGATGGGGTTGATGAGGACCAATGGGCCACTAGAGCCAGGTCTGGTGTCTCCCTTTCCCCTTTGGAGCTCAGGGCAAGCTGCGGGGGATAAAGATCAGAGGAGCAGCACTTCCAAGGTGAGCACCTCAGCCGTCAGACGGCTTTGCAGTTCCCTTGAATGTTGCAGGCTGCTAGGAAGATGAATTGGAGGGAAGGGACCACTTAGGTGTCGGTACTGAAGTGGGGTGCGTGTGTGAGATCTTCATTCTGCGCAGGGACCACTGCACTGGAGAAGAGACGGATGAAAGGTGGACGGTGTTTCCTTCTGATGTGGCTGTTTCTAGATAGCCCCTGTGGTCTTGGGGGAAGGTGGTCCCTGGAAGGAGGACCCTTTGCACTGTTGTGATACATAGTAACCACACTTCTGGGCCCCCAGAACTGACCAGAGGAGCTAATTTTCTTAGGGATCCGGGTGTGGCAAGCGAGTGAAATTAAAAGGCTGGGACTGGACTGGAGATTAATTGGCTGCAAAGGGTGTTAAGCATTTGAGGCCAATTCGATCCGATGGTTTGGGGTAAGGAGTGTCTCCCTGACAGATGAACCATTTTTCAGCAAACTCTCCTGCTACTTGGAAATGCGCTTCAGACAATGCAGGCTACATCCTGGTCCCTCCCACTTTTAGTCCCAGGTGCACAGGGCCCCTCAGACTCTGTCCTCCAGCGGTTGGCCCAGGAACTCCACCACGGATCCTGGTTTGCAAGAGGCTCTGAGACTGCTGGCTGGGATATAAGGACCCCTGAACAGGACCTGTGGCTGGCTGGTTCACTCTTTCACATTTTTGCACTGCTTTCTGTTCATTTCCCTTCTGTTCTTCCTCTGAGTCACAGGGAAAGAAGCATTTGGAGCCCATTTAGAGAAGATCTTGAAGTCGGGGTCCTTAGGGTTACTGTCTCATTCCACCTGGGTTTGTTTGGTTTATTGAGCACATCTGGTGTGCCAGGCCATCTTGTGAAAGGACAGTGGTGACAAGACTTTTGATAACCGCTTTCCTGAGTCTGCCTCATGGGGGAAGGCGCCCTGAACACAGGACAGGGAGGCTGCCAGAAGAAAGCAGTTGTAAACTGGGGCCTGCAGAAGAGTAGGCATTAGCCAAGCGGAGTGGGGAAGGGAGTCTGTGTTCCTGGCAGAGGGGACAGAGGCCTCCCGTGTGGCGGTGTACGGCCTCTCTCGGGAAGCACACGTAGTGGGACCTGGCCTGAGGCGGCCAGGGGCCTCTGCCGAGGCGTGGGGGCCCAGAAGGGTCTTGAGCCAGGACACGCTCTCAGAAGCAGGGTGTCCTCCTTTTACTTTCAGGGGCTGCCATAATAAACTACCCAAAACTGGGACACTTAACAGAAACTGACTCTCTCTCAGTTCTGAAGGCCAGAAGTCTCAAATCAAGGTGTTAACAGGACCATGCTTGCTCTGAAGGCTCTAAGGGAGGATCCTGCCTTGTCTATTCCAACTTTTGGTGGAGCCTTTGGTGGCCGCGGACTTCCTTGGCTTATAGACCCATTACTCCAGTCACATGGCCATCTTCCTGTGTCTCCACATGTGTTCCCTCTGTGCCTGTGTCCAGACTTCCCCTTTCATAAGGATGCCAGTTGTACTGGATTAGGGCCCACCCTAATGACCTTATTTTAATTGGATCGCCTCTGTACAGGCTCTGTTTCTAAATAAGGTCGGAGCCTGAGGTCCTGGGGTTGGGACCTGAACACATCAGCCTCAGAGGCCCTGCGGTGGGGGTCCGGCCAGCCCTGCGGCCCATCTCACCGGCCCTGTGTGCTCTCCCGCAGAACCGGGCGGTAGGTCGGCCCAAGGGGAAGCTGGGCCCGGCCTCCGCTGTGAAGTTGGCCGCCAACCGGACGACGGCGGGAGCTCGCCGGCGCCGGACGCGATGCCGCAAGTGCGAGGCCTGCCTGCGGACCGAGTGCGGAGAGTGTCACTTCTGCAAGGACATGAAGAAGTTCGGGGGCCCCGGGCGGATGAAGCAGAGCTGTATCATGCGGCAGTGCATCGCGGTGAGTGTGGCGGCTGCGGCCACGCGGGGAGGCCCCTGGGGGCCTCTCCCCACACGCCCAGAGCAGAGCAGAGGTGGTGGCCCTGGCCCTCCTCTGAATCCAGACCCCACCTTCCTGGCTTGTTCTTCTGCTTGTTGGTCTGCCTCTTTTCTCCCTTAAAAGAGAATGTTGCAGCTGCAGAAACCCCTAGGAGGGGCTCCCTTGTGGGAAGAAAGGGGGCTCTGACCAGTGCCGTTTCAGATTCCACATCGCAGGACTTGGGGGCAGACTTACCTTGCTGGGCCCCTCTTTCTTCACAGGCTGATGGCCTTAGAACTGCTTCCTTCCCTAGATGACCGAGTACTTTGAAGTGTCTGCCATTAAAGATGTCAGCCTGTCCTGTCTGTGACCCCATTGCCAACATTTATGGTCCAGTTCATGAAGGTTCTGGGCCCTCCCTTCCTTCCTGTCCTGCCTTCAAAGTCAGAGGTCCAGGTGGAAGGTCAGTGCCCCGCCTGAGGGGACTGCCCCAGATAAAGACGGCTGATTTATGGTGCCCAGGAGCCGGGCTGCTGCAGAGCCTGGCCGGCCCCTCCACACTGCCTCACCTGCCCCAGCCTTGCTCCAGGACGGGCCAATGGCACAGACCCTGGCAAAACATGGTCTGGGGGTCTGTCCCTGGATCCCTACAGCACACACCCCACCTTCTGCAGGGTGCTGCTCCCAGGTCCTCGTGGTCCTCCCTGTGGGAACGGTGATCTCTCTGCTCCCGTGGGAAAGCAGGCTCAGCAGGAGGGACAGGATTCCTGGGAGAGCTGCTCTGAAGGCCCAGCCTGGCATTGGGTGCACCTTTCTCTCCGGCTGCTGCTGCCCCTCTGAGCCCAGGGACTCCTTCCCCTTCTCCCTCCACACATACTGCCTGCGTTTTTGTTTTTGTTTTAGTTTAGTGTTTTGTTTTTATTTTTTGTTTTCTTTCTTACCGTCAAAAACACAGAAAGAATTTACCATCTTAACCGTTTTTAAGTGTCCAGTATAGTCATAATACCTACATACTCGTTGTGCAAGCTGATCTCTAGAACCTTTTCATCTTGCCAAATGGAAACCCTATATCCATCCAACAACTCCATTTCCCCTCCCCCAGCCCCTGGCAACCATCTTTCTACTGTCTAAGTGTGCCTGCTTTAGATCCCTCATATAAATGGTATTTCTCCTTCGGCGACTGGCTCATTTCACTGAACATCATGTTCTCAAGGTTCATCTACGTAGTGGCATGGGTCAGGATCGATCTTTCTTTTCTTTCTTTTCTTTCTTTCATAAATTCTGTGCCCAACGTGAGGCTTGAACTCACAACCCCGAGATCAAGAGTTGCATGCTCTACCAACTGAGCCAGACAGGCACCCCAGGATTTCCTTCTTTTTAAAGACTGAATAGTATTCCATCATTTGTATGTGCTGTGTTTTCTTTATCTGTTCCTCTGTTGATGGACATTTAAGTTGCTTCTGCATCTCTTGGCTCTTGGGCACCGTGGGGGTGTCCAGTACCTCTCTGAGATCCTGTTTTGAATTCCCTTGGGTATATACCTGGAAGTAGGATTGTTGGATCATACGATAGCTCTACTTTTATTGGTTTCAGGGACCGCCATACTGTTTTCCGTAGAGGCTGCTCCATCGTACATTCCCACCAATGGTGTACAAGGGTTCCATTTTCTCCACATCCTCGCCAGCACTTGAGATTTACTGTTGTTTTGATAAGCAGTTGCCTGGATGGAAGTGAGGTGGTACTTCGTGGTGGTTTTGATCTGCATTTCCCTGATGATTGGTGATGTTGAGCATCTTTTCATATTTTGTTGGCCGTAGCTTTTTTGGAGAAATGTTTAAGTCCTTTGGCCATTTTTAAATTGGATTGTCTGTGTTTTTGTTGTTGAATTGGAATTCTTCATGTGCCCTAGATACTAACGCATCATCACATACATTCGTGGGTTGCCTTTTCACTCTGTTGGTTGTTTTTCCTTTTGCTGTGCAGTTTTTGTTGGGTTACTTGTGTTTTTAATTGTTACCTCTACCCAGGTCATTTCCGTGGATTTCAGGAATGTTGGGAGTCCCCTTGAAATTAAATACAGGTTTTTGTCTGTGTGCCTACCTCTAGGTACATTTTTCTGGAGTGAGGGTCCATGTGGCCCATCGCATGCTGTCAGGATTTACGATTTTGAGAATAGTGTCCCCTAAACACAGCATGTTGGCAGTGATCCAGCACTGTCTCTTCCTCTTCAGCCCTCCCCCGTCCCTGCCCTGTGTCCCAGGGCCAGTTATGGGACCTGCCTCTGATGTTACCTGTGCTTTGCAGCCATGGTGCCTGCCACTGTGAGTGTTGGTTGAAGGAAACCTCAATTTTGTGTGTGTCTCTCCAACCTGATGTGGCTTTCGGAACTAATAGCAAGTGTCGTCTTGGCCTGACCATTAGGGTCCTCTTTACTCTTCTTCCAACTTTTCCACGTTGCTGGGGCTCTTCCTGCCATGGTTTACCTGCCTCTGACACATGCAGGCCACCTCTCCTCCCTTTCCAGGCTCTTCTTTCTTGATGTGCTGCTGTCTCTCTCCTCCCTGCGAGGCTCCATCCCTTCGCACCGTCCAGCACCATCTCCCTGCTGGCTCGGGCCTGGGTTCCCCTTGTCAGTCTCTGCGGTAGCTTTGCCTGTGGTTCTGCCTGCCAGTTTCAGACTCAGTCCCCTACCCTCGCCCATCCCATCACAGACCGTCTTCTGGCCACCAGGTGCTCCTCACCCGGCACCCCAGCTTTGGGCTCTCCGCACTCCCCTGCCCCCGGTGGCCTGGCCTGCTCCCAGTGGCTGAGCGCATCTGGCTCTTGCTTCTTTGTCCTCTTTCGCCTGGGTTGGCGGTCCCTTTTCCTTTTCCTGCTCCTCACTTCTCTGCGCCTGCAGGAGCCCACATTCTCTGTCCTGGGAGTCCTCCGGAAGTCAGCCTCTTGCTGCTCCCATAGCACTTGCACATGACTTTCCCATGTCTTCCTAGGATTTCAGCATGTTCTGTCTTCATCTTCCCAAACAGCTCGGGGGAGCAGCTGCCTTCCTCATCACTGTTCCCCTTTTGGTTGCTTGCTTCAGGCTTCAGCAGATGTTTATTAAGTATTTGTTGAACAAATGATGGCTCTTTTGCCTTCAGTGTTCTATTTATTTGAACTCAAATGTTTGTGCCATTTTATAGACTTTTCACTTAGTAGTGGAGCCTATATCGCCTTTTTGAAGCTCTGTTAATTCAGTGTGATAAAAATTGACTGTGTGCTTCGTCTGGATCCCAGGTACAGGGAGGGTGGGTGTGTAAAGGGGGGAGAGTGTAAGTGGCTCGACTCTGTCTGCAAAGGGTTTATGGTTTAGCACATCAGTTCTCAAACGTTGTGGTTTTGGGAATTCTGTACCCTCTTAAAAATTATGAGCCCCCCCCCCGCAAAAGCTTTATTTATGTGGGTTATTTATTATTATTCAAAATTAAAATGGAGAAGTTTTAAAAATACTTGGAATTCATTTAAAAAGAACAAACTTGGGGCACCTGGCTGGCTCAGTTGGAAGAGTGTGCTACTCTCGATCCCATGGTCATGAGTTTGAGCCCCATGTTGAGTGTAGAGATTACTTAAATAAATAAAACTTTAAATAAAAAATAAAAAGAACAAACCCACTACATGTTAACATAAATGACATTTTTATGAGAACTAGCTACGTTTTCCAAAACAAAAGTGATTAATAGGAAGGATGGCGTTGTTTTATGTTTGTGTAAATCTTTTCTTTTATGTTTGGTTCATTAGACAAGATTTGCATTTTCATATATATGTCTGTCTTCATTCTGTCGCAATACATTGTTTTGGAGCAACTATGTGAGGAAAATGTGGCCTGGTACAGATCCCTAGTTGGAAAGGGGAGGAGTATTTTAGCAGTCTTCCCAGTAGGGGTGGGTACTCCACCAGAACGCAACAGGTGGCAGTTTCTTAAAGGTTAGTTGCATTGTGGAATCTGAAACTGTATCAATGAACTTGTCATGCTGTTACATTAAAATTCATTAGTCTTTCCTTGCCCCCTGGAAAAGCTCATTTGTTCATGCATGATGTTACAACATCACACGTGGGGTCATTTGGAAAAACTGGCTCACTGAGTTATACAGATTTTCCAAATAGGGGCAAACAGTGTTATACTATGTAAAACAACAACAACAACAAAAAAAAAAACCCCACACATTTGTTGACACGCCGCCAGTCTCCTCTGAAGAGTCTTTAAGTGTGATTAGGAAGCTGCCCAGTTCATGGTGGCTAGTGTAGGTTTTCCAAAATTCTAATTTTTGTTTTTAAAGTTTGAATTTTATCATCTGCAACGGATGCTGTAAGTTTGTTTTTCTGGACGTGACCGGCTCATTTCATCTTTGAGAAACTTGCCAGTACTTTTTTTTTTTTTTTTTTTTTTTTTTTTTTTTTTTTAAATTCAGTTGCTCTGTCAAGTAGAATGATGTTCTATGCAGAAAATGACCAAGTCAGGTCACAACTTAGTCACGAGTGCTTTTCCTTTAGATAACCATCATCCTTTGGTATGCAGCAGGGGCACCTGATGCACACTTCCTATTTTGTCGTACAGAATATTAAAAGGTTATGTTTTCAAGGGTCAAAGATTTCATAAAATTAGTAATTTTTTACTGCTTCATCAAAGACCTTCTTCAGTGAAGCCGGTGGTCTTTGTAATAAGCGTGTGGCAGGGACAAACTCAGTACTGCCCCGACGAGGACCGGCAATGTCCCTTACCAGTGCAAATGTCAGCATAGTTGAAAAAGGCAGATAGCATCTTAGTGTTACCCTGAAGATAGTTTTGACCCTGCGGACCTCCCTGTAAAGGTTGTGGGGACCCTGGAGTCCTTGGACATGCTTTGATGGCCACCGGTGGTGCACAGCCTCAGTCCCCCACAGGCTTGGGCTCAGTTCACACCCCACCTCCTCCTTCGGGTCTTGACTCGCATGGGACACTGTCCCTGACCTCCATGTTCCGAATGAGCCCCTTCCACCCCTCACCTGGCCCTCCTTGCTGTATGTTTCTCCATGTCCCTTGTCACAGCATATCCTGTTGGTTTTCATTTGTCTGCCCCCCTCCATGAAAATGTAAGCTCAGGATGGCAGAGATATTTATTTGTCTTGTCCAGTGCCATTCCCAGCATTTAGTATCTGGCACAAAGAGATAGTAGCCTGATGAGTATTTGAACGAATGAACGAATCAATGAATGAATGACAGGCAGTGGCTGAGCCAGTTCTCTGCTGCCTCCTGGCCTTGGACCTGCTCCCCACGGTTCTGGCCCCTGCTGACTTCGCTGTGCTCTCTCCGGCTCTTCAGCCAGTGCTGCCCCACACCGCCGTGTGCCTGGTGTGTGGCGAGGCAGGGAAAGAAGACACAGTGGAAGAGGAAGAAGGAAAGTTTAATCTCATGCTAATGGAGTGCTCTATCTGCAACGAAATCATCCACCCCGGATGCCTTAAGGTGAGCGGTCCCGGGGGGGTCTGGCTGTGCTGCTCGGCACCCCCATTGAGCACCTCTGGTGGTGCTGATGCTGGGGGACAGTGAGCTTCCTTCCCCAGAGGACCTCTGAGTCTGGGGGGGTTCTGAGTGTCAGATAACAAGCCGAGGGCAAGAAGGGTCTGCAGTAGCTCAGACCTCCCACCTGTGGCTTCGAGGGAATGAATACATACCCCCCCACACCCCCCACCCCCCAATAAGACAAAGCCAGAGAGAGTTCCCAGAGTCTTGCACTGAGACCAGAGGGAGAGACTGGGTGGTTGTGCTGCTCGCTGGAATCCTGGCTCCGGGCTTCTGGGAGAACGAAGCCTGGGCCTGGGAGGGCGGACCCTGTGACGACAGGTGGTTGCACCAGTGTCCCTTTGTGCCGAGAACCTGCTCCCTTGGTGTGCCCAGGGCAGGGCTGCCTTCTTGTGGGGACCACTGTGCTGTGCCTGCCTGTCTTAGGCAACAGGTTCTACCTCTGCAAGGAGGAGACTGCTCTGGGCTTGTCCCCAGAGAATGTCGTCAGCCCTCTCAGCCCAGGTGTCAGCCTCAGTGTATCTGTGTGTGTGTGTTTGTTTTAATGTTTATTTATTTTGAGAAAGAGAGAATGTGAGCAAGGGGGGAGGGGAGAGAGAGAGGGAGAATCCCAAGCAAGCTTCCCGCTCCGCACAGAGCTGGACGTGGGGCTCAATCTCACAACCAGGAGATCATGACCTGAGCCGAAATTAAAAGTCGGACGCTTAACTGACTGAGCCGCTTAGGTGCCCCTATGTGTGTGTTTTAGAAAGATTGAGGTGGGCTTGCCCCGAATACTGCCTCAGCTCTGAAATGTCTCTTTTCTTCGGTGGCAGTAGTGGGGGCTTGTTGCAAGGCTCATCCTCCTGCACACACGTCACAGTCTGAAGGGGGCACTGTGATTGTTCCCTGGCTTTGGAAGTCAGACTTCATGTTTTAGTTGCCTGGTTACTTCTGTCTCCCAGATCAGAAGCTCCTCAAGGGCAGGGACAGCACCTCTGTGTTGCTCACACCTAGCACCCAGTGCTACTAAGTGACTGAACAGGCCCTGGGCCCATTGCTTTCCCTAGGTTATCTTACTGAATTGTTGCAGAACAGTGGTGAGACAGGTACATTCCATTCCATGATGGGGGGCACTGGCCCACAGAGATGGAGTGATTTGCCCGGGATCACTGAGCTAGTAAGAGGCAAAGTTAGGATTTGACCCCTGGCCTGGATCCAGAGCCACCTGTCTTAACCACCTTTGTTTTGTCTTGGTCAAGGATGGGATAGAAGTGACATCTGGGAGGGGGCTGTTGGTGTTCCTGGCAGGTGTGGCATCTTCTGCCCCCTCCCTGCTTGCTGACTGGCGTGTGCCCTTCGCAGATTAAGGAGTCAGAGGGCGTGGTCAACGATGAGCTTCCAAACTGCTGGGAGTGTCCAAAGTGTAACCACGCCGGCAAGACCGGGAAAGTGAGTGCCGGGCTCCAAGTCCCAGGGGTCAGCCCGGGAGGGGCAGACCTTGGCCTTGTCAGATGCGGCCTGTCGTGCGCTGTGGGCCAGCGGGGTGCCGCGGGTTCCTGGAGGGGGGCAAGTCCAAAGATATACAGTTTGTTTGTTCCTTCTCTCTTTTTGGCCTACAAGCAAAAGCGTGGCCCTGGCTTTAAGTATGCCTCCAACCTGCCCGGCTCCCTGCTCAAGGAGCAGAAGATGAACCGGGACAACAAGGAAGGGCAGGAGCCTGCCAAGCGGAGGAGTGAGTGCGAGGAGGCGCCTCGGCGCAGGTCAGATGAGCACCCCAAGAAGGTGCCCCCGGATGGCATCCTGCGCCGAAAGTCAGACGACGTGCACCTGAGGAGGAAGCGGAAATACGAGAAGCCCCAAGAGCTGAGTGGACGCAAGCGAGTACGGAGCGGGAGGAGCGGGCAGCGAGGGGTGGCCTGGC